TGGGCCTGCTTCATAGAACCTAAGCATAAAAATGAACAGTTTTTCTTATATCTTTAAGTATTTATTCTGCAAGATCCCGGTCACGTAAAACTACGATGCAATAAAATATGTTATGTTTTTACTTCATATTAGTGTTTATTAGGTTATTTTTCAGAGAACCTTTGGGTGTTAAAAGGGATGTCTTCCCTCGGTCCCTATACAAACTGTTCCTCACCCCCAAGTTGAAAAGTGTAAACAATCATGCTGCCACCTCTAGACGATTTGGGAGGAGGGAAAAGCTTCGCTTTGGAATTTCTCTATGCAGGCACCAAGTTATGACTGGGCTTCAGCTCACATGGCTGAAGATGTCAAGTGAAAGAATTGGGATTTAAGCCTGTACCACAGATAGATTAACACTGATGCACCATGATGTTATGAACTTTTCCTTGCTATGTATGAAATCTCTACATCACAGTTCTCTGAGGAGCTAGATTCAGCTTAGAAAGGACTCATCTATCCTAGGAAAAATTTTTATTTAATCTTTTTAATTTACTTTTAAAAAACTGATTTTATGTGTAATGAATATAATGAAAGTAGAGCTAGATTCAGCTTAGAAAGGACTCATCTATCCTAGGAAAAATTTTTATTTAATCTTTTTTATTTACTTTTAAAAAACTGATTTTATGTGTAATGAATATAATGAAAGTGTTATAGTAAAAATTGAATATACGAAGCTTTCTTAAAATATACTTGAAATGACCCTTATCTTTCAGGTGTTTTGTATCTCTTTTAAAAGGGCTTATATTGTAGGGTGGGTGTAAGCAGAAGCTTATTTTATCACTTTGAAGAAATATACCCTGAATTGCCTAAATGGGTAATGGGTTAGATGCTAACTGATCCGTTGTTGGTTGAATAAGATCATACTTCTGTTGTGTGTTTTTGAGAAAATTAAAGGATATCAACTGTGAGTCACCCTAAAGGGTTTATGTTCACAGAACTAGACCTAAGGGTTATATGAAGAAGGATATTTAAGGAACTTGCACCAAACAGGAACAAAGTAGATTGAGTTAAATCATTCAGGAGAAGTTCACAATGAAGTTCCTTCTATTGATACTGGTTTGCAGGTCAGTGTTTCTGGAGCTGTTCCTCTGACCACCTCTTCAAGCCTGAAAGAACATGATGTGGTATTTGCTGTAGTAAGTAAGGACACTATAGAATTATCTAGCCTGATTTTTGTCTTTAAGATGTATTGCACTGACCAATTTTATTTTGAAAAGCCCTAGTTGAAAACTGGTCTAGGAATGTGTTTGCTTTCAGCATTAAATATTTCCCTGTAAAAGAAGAATATAAAACAAAGATACTGGTTTTGCAGGAGTGTTACAAAATTAGAGTATAAATTTGTTACTTCTACTAAAAAGCTTGGGCCAAGGAATTTCAGTTCAGTGTAACTGGAGTTTATTTCTGTTATGGTATTTTACATCAATCGCTTTATGCCAATTAAAAATCTGAGATTTGAACAATGGCTTCACCAATTTAACCTCTTCAGTTTGCCATGATGATTGAAGCACACTCCCTTTACCCTTGCTTATCCAATATATTTTTTCAAAAGCATTTTTAAAAATAGGGTATTTTCCAATTCTTAAATTTTCCCCCTAATTAAAAGAGTTCCATCTCCTAATGTCTAAGATTAATTGTCCAACCAACAATAATATCACCTGTGATTAATATGTTCAAAATTCCTGGCTCAAAAGCATCAGTGTACAGTTGAGACATATATGCAGAGCTCCCTACAGAAACATGCTTGAGTCTAATTATGCATCACTGAATATATTTTGTACAAAGGTACTTGGGAACCTTTTACAGCTCTGAGGTAGAAAGAATGCCAATGACAAAAATGGAAGTGTATAGGAACTTTAAGGAAAGAATCCAGAAATTGCAGCAGTTCTTGGGGTTAAAAGTGACTGGGCAACTGGACACATCTACTCTGGAGATGATGCGCACACCTCGGTGTGGTGTGTCTGACGTGCATCCTTTCAAGATATTGCCAGGGGGGCCAGTATGGCAAAAACGTTCTCTCACCTACAGGTAATGGAGCTGTATGTCATCACGTATTTTTCTACTTTCCTGTAGGTCTTACTTCTTAGCTATAGCCCTAAATCTGGAAGTAGATAAAAACCTACTAGTAGTACAAACTTGACCACTTAGATATAGCCCTAAATCTGGAAGTAGATAAACAGGCTCCCTCAAGTAAGGGCCTCCCTCAATTGTTAACACTATCTCTGTGACAAAATTCCTTATCTCTAGAAGGAAGTATTGTTTACTCAAAGGAGAGCTGTTTGGCATGTCAGTCCAGAGCAGAGTAAAAAGCTGCCAGTAAAAGGACAATTAAGCTGAATCTGCTATAAATAAAAGACAGGAGAGAGTTTATATAGAGTAGTCAAGGTGTATAAATGCACAAGTCTGGGAGCAAGAACTAAAGCCTTAAACTTCTATGGAAAAATCCTTCACAGTGATGACCTGCAGGTCAAAATAAGAAGAAATTAATTTGGAGTGTGGAGTTGGTTATGAAGGAAGCTGTCTAGAAAAAACTTTTTCTGAAGTTAATGAGACAAGTGTTTCTCATCTAGACTCGATTTATGAGATGATTCATCCTCCAATGGTGCTAGCAGAAAGGAAGTGTTGTGAGAACACAAAATTAACACATGGTTTCCATATGTATTTCTCTCTCTTTTTGCTGATGAAGAATCACCAATTACAATCCTGACTTGAAGCGTGAGGATGTTGATGATGCCACCCAGAAAGTTTTCCAAGTATGGAGTGATGTGACCCCCATGAAATTCATAAAGATAAATGAAGGCGAGGCTGACATTATGATGCTTTTTGCATCCAGAGGTAACAAACTTGGACTTCATCTGTGTCATTTGGAGAGATCTGGAGCATGCATAGGAGACTAATTTTCTTTCCTTTTTAAAAAGATCATGGAGACTTCCGACCTTTTTATTTCCCCCCCAAAATTACCAAGTTTGTTTATTGCTTATGGGGTCTCTAATTATAAAATGTTAAAATTAACACATATCTTTGTTCTCTAGGATGTTCTAATCTCTTATCAACCTGATCAGATTATCATCTAACTCCTCTAAAAGGATATTCCAGTCTGTCCCTTTTTCTGCATACCTACTATAAACATATCAATAAGCCCAAAGCTTGAGACTAAGGTAAAAAAAAACTACAGTATTCTTAGGGAGACTTTCGACCTTTTGATGGTAAAGGTAAAGTCATAGCCCACACTTTTGCATCTGGACCTGGTATTGGAGGAGACTTACATTTTGATGAGAATGAAGACTGGACTAAACATTCTGATGGTAAGCATAAAACAAATCAAACAAAGAATGAAAATAACAAACCCTAATGAATTTCAGATTATATCCTGATTTTGAAAGACAGCATTTTTACAATACAGTACATAATGAAAGAACTTGTTCTGATCATAATCAATCTAAATTAATCTCAACACTTTGTCTTGGTTTCTATTTGACCCTCTATAAATTGAGAATTTGGACTAGATTATCTTAAAAATCAAGTGTAAGAAACTATGAAGATCCCATGAGCTATGAGTTAGCTCATTAGTATAAACTCAAAGAAATCTTAGATCCATAGTATGGAAAAGTAAAAGCTGTTATTTAGGTGGTAATTTTTTGACAGTGAAACCCATAAACTCAAAAGCTAATATAGACACTAATTCTGTGTGTACCAACTATGGTAGGATAAGATGGTCATCTCTAAGATTCATCATACACTCACAACTTCTTAGATTCATAGTTATACAAAAATTAAAGTTATAGAGAATTGAGAAATGTCTATAGAGAAACACAAGATTAAATGATCGTATAGTTTTTTGTGGTCCTGGGATAAAAATTTCAGATTGCTCAACTGATCATTTAACAATATCTTGGGTGTATTTGCAAAGGGACTGTAACTCACCATTTATCTCAGACAGTTCGGGGATGGGGTTAAATAAACTCCCCTGTTTTTTGTGGGGGGTGGGGAATCACAAGCATGGGAAATTGAAACCATCATCTCAGAAGCATTCCTAATCTTTCTGTTGGAAAATCTAGATTGTATGACACACTCACATGGAAACTAAATGGGTAGGCAGTCATCCAGAATATGATCTATTCAGCATCCCCCCTCTCTCTGGCTGATATTAATCACATTGTATGGCAGTATTTTTATAGATGCTATGTTCACCAGAAAGGCTATTTATTTTAATCTGATGCATAGCCTAACATTTATAAGACATTAGAAGAGAAGAAGAGGATTTTGTATTCTCAAAAGACAAGTCAAGTAGGATTAGGTACTTGCTGAACTACAAATCCTCAAACATTTTAGATGTGTCTACATTCTATACAAGTTTATTTGAGGATTGCAATTTCTTCATCTGAATTGGGAACTTGTGTTGGTTAACCATAGAAAAAGTGTTGGAATTCTAATGGATCTTAGGAAACTAATTCAACACAGATCTCTACAGACAGAGAAAATTTAGACCAAGAAAATGTTATTAACTAATTTGTAGAAAAGGTGGGGCCGGGACTTGCATTTCTCATGTCTTAGCCCAATGTATTCTTTCCGTCTGTCCATGATGCTGTTTTTAATTGGCTTGATTCTATGCTTTCAACAAGTTAAATTATTAATGAAAATTTTAACTTAAGAAGCTCAGTCTCAGCCTAATTTTTGGCCCAGTAAATTAAAAGAACAATTAGCTCAACTCTTACTGAATTTCTATCATGGTGTTGGGTAAAGGGGGTGTTTGAATACAGAGATGAAAGGATATAATTCTACCCTTAAACACACTATTTAGTGGGAAACAGAATACAAGATATCTATTATTTTGACATGAGGACCAGTGGTGATGGCTTACATGAAGTATTATGGGAATAGAGAATAGGATAAATTCAGGATTAGGCCAAATTATAACAGGTTTGTTGACCCTTCCCAGCCTTATGCAAAGAGGAGAAAATATGACTTGCTTTTTGTTTTGTTTTTTTCTGATTGTGAGAAGAAATTAAAGCAGGTCTAAAAGAGTTGCTGGACCCATGTTTCAGGGAATGCTTAATAGGTCTGTGTTCATAGACAATCCGCAAGAGAGAAGTGTAGACTCTATGTTCGCACCTGGGTGCTGGAGAGTGTTTCAAGGCCAGGCTATGCAGTTAAGTGGTGTGTGACTCTGGGCAAGTCAGCTTTTCTGAGCTATGATTTTGCATAAAAGAAGAAAGATGAAAATGAAGTCATTCGATTAGAACATAGTTAAAAATCTGTTAGGAAGTTTTCAGTCTTCTGAGAATTGAGAAATTTGTGAAGAGGGACACATCCCTCTACGATGTCTTCCCTACAAAGGTACATTGTTATAGACAGTGAGAAAACAATGACCAAGCATGACTATAACTTGGCAGTCTAAATATGTGTAAATTATAAGTTTCTCTAATTTCATTTAGAATCATGTGTAATAAAAGCATTAGTTTAGAGCCAAGAAATTCGCACTGGAGTCTTTCCTCAAGCACTTAATTTGGTCAATTAACCTCACTGATCCTACTTCCTCATCTGTAAATGGAGAGTGTGGTGGCTTAATAATGATCTTATATTTGGGTTTAGCAAAGAATGGTTACTAAAGATCGCTACATTTATGGAAGCCTGATCAAGAGTAAAAGCAGGATGGAGTCCTGGAGATTGGGAACAATTTAAATGCAATGAGAACTACTGAACAAAGCTATGAGTTATTCTAGGAATATTCACAACAGAATATATTTCATTTGTTTACTAGTGCAGTTGTCCCAGAGGCAATTTTGCCACCAAAGGTACGTTTGACAATGTCTAGAGATATTTTCTGGTTGTCAAAACTACAGGGGAATTTGCTACTTCCCTTTAGTGGTAAAAGGAGAGATTACAAAACGTCTATAATGCACAGAACAGCCCTGATGACAATGGGCTGGCCTATAATTTCAGCAGTGCTGAGGTTGAGAAATCCTGTTCAAGAAGTTGAGCAAATAAGTAAAGGATTCCAAATATTTCCTTTTCACTGCTTCAGATGTTTTGTTATTGTCCTCCAGATGGCAACGCATTTCACTGCTCTACCCCTTTCGGTTGGTTTCCTTCTAGGCATAAGCTTGTTCCTTGTGGCTGTTCATGGGATTGGCCATTGCTTGGGTCTTGACCATTCCGATGATTCAAGTGCCATAATGTTCCCCCTCTACAGTTATGTTGACCCCAGCACATTTCACCTTTCTGCTGATGACATAAGTGGCATTCAGTCCCTCTACGGCGAGTTAAATTTCTTTATCAGGTTGCCATGTGAAGGTATTTACTCTTATAAATAGTCTAATCCCATGTACATTTGGGTAAAACTTTAATATCTATCTTTATTTGAGCTCAGTGAGAACCCCGTGAGGGAGGCAGCACAGATATTATCTTCATTTTACAAATGAGGACAAGAGACCGAGTATGTTAATGTCAGAGCCTGAGGCAGAACCTGAGGCCTCAAGCTGGTGTTTTTTCTATCTAAGATACCATCGCCTAATAAAAGAGATACCAACGCCTAATAAAAGAGATGGCGGCGTACAGAGAAAGTAATGTAACAGGAAAAGGAAAGTCAAAGTGTTCAGATTTTTATGCTCCATGATGTTGCAACCACATAGAAAGAAAAACCTCACTGAAATCTTCCTGTGACTATTATAGAAATCTTAAATTGATTTTGATGAAATTGTCAAGAAAATAAAATGTTTTGAAAAGAATGATTCTTTCTCATACGAACTAAAATGCATATTTTTTCCTAATCTTTCTTTTTTTATTTAAAATTTTTATTTATTATTAGCATATTCTTTCTTACAAATCATGATATTTCTTTATGCCTACTGCTTCTTGAAATGTATTTGCAGGAGGACCAGAGGAGCACCTCGAAAGTTCTTTCAAGCAGCATATTCTTTCTTACAAATCATGATATTTCTTTATGCCTACTGCTTCTTGAAATGTATTTTCAGGAGGACCAGAGGAGCACCTCGAAAGTTCTTTCAAGGGCTGGCCCGGTGGCGCACTGGAGAGTGCGCCGCTTGGGAGCGGGCGGGAGCGCCGCCGAGGGTTCGGATCCCATGTGGAGACTGGTTCCCGCTCACTGGCTGAGTATGGTGCGGGTGCAGCACCGAGGGTTGCGATCCCATTGCCGGTCCCC